GCTGTATCTTAGTTAAGAAAAAAGTGAGGGGGATAAAAGTGTGTATTTGGTTACCTATGGGGAGGAATGGAACTGGGCAAATGGGAAACAAAAATGAAAAGGAAATTTTATTTTAACATTTCATGTTTTGAACCATGTGCATGTGTATCTATTTTAAAAAGCTAGATGCTTCTGATTCTGAAGATAATTTTGTAAGAACTCTAAAAAATTTTGAGCAATGACAAAAATCACTGTTTGGTTTTCCAAGATCAAAGTAATATTTCTGTGCATCGTTTGTACCCTGTAATCTGCCCTCTTCCCCTCGGGAATGAAAGTAAGGTAGGTTCACTGGGAATAGTTTGCAAGAAATAAACACATTTTAATTTCCCTGACACTTTTCATATTTTCCAGACATTTTTCTATATTTTTCCCACCCAGCAAAATAAACAAATTTTATTCCCACCCAATAAAATCATAATATGGATCATATATTTTTAGTGGATCTGTATTCACTACTTGCACAGCACTGATTGACTCCTCTTCTGGGTGAGGGTTTTCAATCATAGTTTTCCTCCCATAGAGGAGGGCAAGCAACCTATCCTCCCTCTCTACAGTAAGTGAATGGTTCAGTGAGGTGTGTCAATGAAAATTCTTCCTAGGGTTTCCCTGCTAGAGCTAGTAAGAGAGATCCTTTTGCGTTTGGGGTTATTAATACTAGGAACATACCACATCACATCTTGTGATATAATGTGAAGGCAATTAAGCCAATACAATGAGGAAAATAGCCCAAGAAGAGAGATGGAACAAAAAAGACCCAGCATCATTATCTGAGCCATGAATCCAGCCATATTTACACTTCCTGGTGTTGTGAGCCAATACATGCTCTTTAAGCTAGTTTGACATGTATTCCTATCCCTTATATCCAAGAGTCCTGACTAATACAATTTATCAAGTTTTCCGTATCACTGAATATTCTTTAGAAGCACTACTTAAAAAGCTGACATAGTATTCCATCACATGGTTACATTATAATTTATTATAATACCACCTTATTAGTCTTAATAGTATTAGTATTCCCCCACTATTGATATTTTGCAGTTGCTTCTAATAATTTACAATTAAATGTCATGTTTCTTTTAAAAGTCCAACTGTATAATCAAATTTCATCTTTGTGAAGACTACATGCAGAATTCCAAATGTGCATACAGCATAGAAAACAATGGCTGTGACCATAAAAAGTATATTATTTGGAAATCTATTCTTAAAGATCCCCAACATTTTGTTTGTCAAGCAGTAAGTGACTGAAACAACAGTCTCAGAATAAAAAAACCTATAACTTCCAAGCTCTTTATATGCACAATGAATGACTAGTGAGAGCTTTAATATTAAACACACAAATCCCTAAAGCTATTTTTTTTGCCCTTGTCTTATATTAATCTACTACTTTTTCCAAATGAGAGCATATATTCTATTCACATCAATTCAAAAATCTTTAAAAAAAATAGAAGTTAGTGTTTTAATCAGCTAAACCATGCTCTAAGGTTCTTTGTAATATAAGAAACTAAAGTTCAAATCATCATTTGATATTTTAAACGTGATAAATACAAGATTCTGTAAGATATCCTGCAGCTCAGACTCTTTTCTCTCCCTTTGAAAAGTAGACAAAAAAGAAGTAAATTTCTAGGGCATTAAAATGACTATTAAGACAAGAATAACAATGCTAGTAAACATTCACTCACTAATCACAGCTATAAGCTTGACTCAGTGAATATAATGATGCTCACAGTTTTGTAATATATTTAACCAAGTAGAATTAGTCTACCTTTTCAACAATTTTTTCCCTTATAATACAATGCCCTACCTATAACAAGAACTGCTTAAGATAATTTTTGGTATGAAGTCAGTCTGTCTTAAATCCTTTCTAAAAAATTATTGTAAGTACTAATCAACTTCATGCTAGAATGTCTGAACTGCGGAATTACAATACAGATAACCATCATTAACTTAATGAATGGTACTACAGTTATTATTAATTATTATGAACACCATTAGTATACAAATCTGTAAAATTAGCATTGTATTAAAAGACATTTACCAATACCATCTCCGACTTCTCCATTCACTGCTATCTAAATTCCTATGCTTAGAAAATGCCTGCTTTGCCTCTAATAAAAATCAAAAAGATCTCAGAAATAAGAGGTCAAGCATACTGATTTAATTTCACATTTGTTTCTTCTTCTTCTTCTTCTTTTTTTTTTGTAACACTTTAGTTCTCTTTTCTTTTAGCTCTTAGACACAAATCATTATTACTTTTTTGGATAAAAATGATACAGTTTTAGAAACAGATTTTTACTTTTTCCTGTGGTATCCTAACTACCTATTTCTACTAGATTGGTTAACAAGAAGTGATACAGAATACTAAAGTTTATCAACAGACAACGTACAGAAGATGCTGAATATCTGTAGTTTATCAATAGACAACTTATAAAAGATGTTGAATATATCTCAATGGCTCTTGCTAACAACATTCTGACTAAAATGAGGTTATGGGACATTTTCTAAAAAATACTATATTTTTTAATTTAAAAAAATTTCCCTAAAGCAATAATTCTGTTGACTCTTTAAGTCCTAAGAAACAATCAAACAAAACTCAAGCAAATAACTATTAAAAAAAGAAAAACCCAACTTCTCTTTTGGCAACATGCAAGCATGAAATGGCAATTAGCCCTCAATCTTTTTTTTTTTTTAACAGAGAGTGGCTCAAGGAAATAACTAAGGAAGTAAAAAATAAATTAATATGATACCCATGTAAGAGAGATATGAGGGAAGGGAGGAGTATTTAACAGAATGCTGGTGGGAAATTTTTAATTTAATTATATGGTAGTGTAAAATCTTACATTTTTTGGTTAAAAAAAAAGTTAAAACAACCACATGTTCAATTTTATATTTTCCATGTAGTGTAGGCCCTCAAAGGCTGGAGAAACACAGCCAAGTTAAATCATGTATGTTTAATTAAAATCCTTGCAAAAATGAACTGAGTACTTCATGGGACAGTAAGATTCTCACTGCCATTCCCACATTATATTCTCACTGATGATCTTCAAGTTAATCATAGTGCTAGTAAGTCATGTATTCAAAAAACTATGGCTTAGAAAATAGATAAGCACAAACATTTAGAAAACACAAACTAAAACTACATAGTTAAAAGAAACACTCCCATAGTTAAAAAATACCTGTAATATAAATAAACATGTAGTAAATAAAAAATGCACAAGATATCACAAGTAACATATTCTTAATGAACTTAAGGCACTGCCTAAAACTGGTTGGTTTGCACAAACTAAAATGTAAGGCAGAAATTATAGTTATTAGCAAAACTCTACATTTACTTTAAAGAATTATCAAAACCTCTGCTATGACTTTCAGGCAATAGCAAGCATTGCCCTCTCCCTTTTGCAAATGTGCCTTCTTTTAAGTGGAAAGAATAATTGGAAATGACTATACGAAGATTTACACTAACTCAAACGATGTATTGATATCTTGAGACTCTCTGGCACTTAAAATATAAGTTGAGTCAGACTTCCCTTCCTTAAGCATCTATTTCATAACTTAACGATAAAGCAGTATCACCAAAATATGCAAGAACCATGCACAAAAAACGCCCCCCCAAATAGAAAACAAAGCCAAGCTGACGCTAATTCTTGGTCCCTAGATAATTTTTCTTAGTTCCCACACAGAAAATGTTTCTAAATATCAACTTGAAATGTTGGTGCATTTTTTAAAATGCACCTGTAAATCCGTTCATAAATTAAACCTTGAATCTTTAAAAATTACCATTCAGCTACATAAATTCGTTTATTCCTACACTGTTGATATTTTCCCCTTTGAATACTGGGAAATTTCTAAGTCAAGAAAAAAGCCATTGGGTCAATCCTCGTATACCATGTCCCCCCCTCCCCCCAAAACACCCAAACAAAAAGCAAAATCTCCTCTCCGGTTTTTCTCTTTAAACAAAACAGGTAGTTGAACTACTTTTCTAAAGCCAGCTTTGCTCTCGATTCTCCACTGCACCTCTACCTTAAACCAAAACGGACCCTGCACAAGACTAACTAAGATGTTTCCAGGCGACTCACAAGTGGCGTTTCTCTGTCAGGCCTGGGAGTAGAAGCACCCTCCACCCCGCCCCAGTTTTCAGACCCTTCCTCCGGAATTTCGCACCCGCTCAGTTCAAGTGTGAAGAAGAGCTGAGAATGCTGGGCCCGAAAGGGCAGAGCCGGGGCCTAGACCGCTGCACGGTCCCCAAGGCAGCTCGCGCGGTAGGAAGGAGGGAAGAGGCACCGAGAAGCGGCCGCCGGAGGCCAGGGGTGTCCCTGTAAATGGAGGAGGCGCTCGGACTTGGAGCGCAAAGCTCCGGACCCCCTTCGCTGCCTCTTTACCATCCCCTCCCCCAAGCTGGAGAAGCAGGGCCCCGGCCCGGTGCGGGAAGGGGGAGGAGGTAAACTCGTCCTGTCACTGCACCGGGAGAGGCTGGAAGGAGCACATGTTCTACCGGGAGAGGCCGCGGCCACCCCTGCACCGGCCCCTAAAGCAAGAAACCACCTCCAACCCCAGAGTTCCGTCCCCTGCGCCTCACCAGGTCGTAGTCCTCCTCATCATCGCACATGAAATCATCCTCCATGTCAGACATCTTGGCTGGGAGGGGGGAGGGGGAGGAGAAATTGGAGACAACCTCCTCCCACAATCCTCCGCGGCTCAGAGGCGTCACTCCCAGCTTCTCCTCGCCTTCCCGTCGCTCTTAGGGGAGCACAATGTTTCCTTCCGGAACAAATGTGCTCGATTTCCAGCGGGTTCGCTACGACGCCAAAAGCGAGTGCACCGCCCCCCTCTTCCTGCGAGTCGGTTGGTGCCTTAGCAACTAAACCTAGCAACTGGGGAATCGTCGAGTGCTGTGGATCTCAGCTGAAGGGCCCCGGAAACCTTGCGCTCACATCGAGCAGTCTCCAGCCTCCCGGGCAAGGGAACAGCCTCCTCCCTTGCCTGGGACTCTGGAACCATCTCATTCCGGTAAAAGTAAGAGGCAGCTTGGGACCAGCAGCCTTTCGCGAAGAAAAGTCTGACATGCCCGTCCTATATGACAGGTAGTATTATTCTGCCATGATTATCTGTGTGCTTTTAGCCCACACATATTGGTGGGTATTCCTGTGATGTTTGGAGACTTTTCAGCAACACGATTTACCCGTAATGTTTGTTATATTTGTAGTCGGCAAAACGATTCAGTGGATATCCCAAATTAGTTAAGCATCAATCAGTTGAGGCACCCAAAGTCTTATTCAGTTGTTCAACGAAATATAAATTGCCCTTGGGACCAAATTAAGGTAACCGTTAACGACTGTTTTTTCAAAAGTGCATTATTGTTGCACAAAATCATTAGTAGAATTCGAAATAGAAAAATGAAACGAAGGGGAAAAACTGCTTTTCAGTTAGCATTTTCCATATAGACTTCCAGTTCTGTCCATTTGAATCCACAAATTTTATATAATTATAACACAGATGTAATTTCGAATTCTTTTTGCACCTAGTTATATAACAGCACAGGACAACTTATGCAATATGTTCTTGACAATGATTGTTTTAATGGTTGCATAAGAATCCCGCGGTTGAATGTACCAATGTACCGTAATATACACTTAATCGTGCTATTATTGTTATACATTTTGAATATTTTAGTAATAACACTATTTTAAACAATTCTGGAGCAAATATATTTCTCACTTGATTATTTTTTTTTCGGAAAAAGTCCAAGAAGGGGAATTACAGGTCGGATTTTTTAGTAATCATTTAGTAATCATTTGAATTGCCATTTTTTTTTGCTCATAGTTCTTAAAGTTCATATTTATAACAATAATACTGTCTACCTAAAACAGTATCTCCTTAAGTAGTCTTTTCCTCCCAACATTTTATTATGAGAAATTTCAAACATACAGAAAAATTGAAAGAATTAGGCCAGTGAACACGTGTATACACACTGTCAGCCTTATTTGTATGT